GATAGGAAAGTTTACTTTTATTTTTATACAATAAAAATTTGGGTGCATAAGGCATGTAGTACAACAAGAGAGCATGGGGATTAGACATTGACCTGGGTTGAATGTTTACCATGATTTATAAGCTGGGGGCTGTCTGCAAGGTGGTCACCTGTACAAGGTTACACTTATTTCATATTTTTATGAGGGTTGCATCTGTTAAAAATTGAAGCAAAATATCAGAATTAGCAGGTACTATCCTATTTGTGCTGACATTCAAGTAACCAAATTTCAAATGACTAGAATTTTGATAAGTCTTTACCCAGGGAACTATCACTCCTAAATCTAATTCAGGAACTTTCATGATTACAAAATACTCTCCTGATTGTTGTTGTTGTTATTTAGTTGCTCAGTCATGTCTGACTCTCTGTGACCCCATAGACTGTGTAGCCCCCCAAGCTCCTCCGTCCATGGGATTCTCCAGGCGAGAATACTGGCGTGGGTCTCCATTTCCTTCTCCAACTCTCCCGATTATCCGTAAGACATATCTGACTAACACAGAACAGAGAAGTCAAGGCAGACCCATTGAGGCAGAGTGACTTGTCCAAGATCACCAGCTAGATAGTATTCAATGATTCAGTTTGGTCTGAAATCGAGTTTTCCTGACACTTGGGCAGAGAATACCAAAAGCTGCTCCTCAACGATGGCATGTGGTAGTCCCTTCCACCTTTTCAAATACAAATAATTTTTAAATTTAAATAATTTAAAATTTTAAATTAATTTTTAATTAATTTAAATTTAATTTATTTAATTTTTAATTAATTTATTTAATTTAAATTTAATTAATTAATTTTTAATTAAGAATTTTAAATAATTTTTAAAACATCACTATCTCCATTTCACTACTCTCTTATGGATCTCCCTTTAAAGTTAGTTCCTAAAGGACACACATTTTAACTAAATATTTCTATGGACTGCCTTACATAAAATTGTATCTTCTTAATCCAACAAGACCTACTAATACATATCTATGAAAAAGAGGCATGCACATGAATATGAGACATATGACCTATTTACATACATATTGGTGCATTTTGCTCCTTACATCCTACAAAATAACTTCATAGGATCCATGTTTGGAAATTGTGGAAGTACAGTTCTTCTTCTTTTTTAAGAACATGAGTTTGCTGAAGGCAGGGAGGGCCAATTCTAGGAAGAAATATGAGGAAGGTCAGTGTTCTTTCTATTGCTATGTTTCCCCTTTCCTCCCTCCAGCTCTCAGGAAACCTCTGACACTTGCAGGCCCCCTGCTGTGATGCTCTCTGAGCTTTACTGTACTCTGAATCCATCCCTCTTTCTGGTATCACTAACGAGTTGTGTAGGAAACAGGGTCTTAGTCAACAGTGAAATTACAAGCGGCTTTTACAAGCGGCTTTTCAGTTTTTAGGCACATTTTGTCATAGTGCTCCAGAGGGCTTGAATGTTAACTGGGGACAATTCAATCCAACAACCCTTCATTAAAGCCGAGTCCAAGCCTGTATAGTACTAGTTGCAGCCCCTCCTCCACCCCAGGCCCACCCCTAGGAGCATGCTGAGAAACACAGACAAATACATGAATTAAATGAATACTGTGGGGCTTCCCAGGTGACTCAGAGGTAAGAATCCTCCTGCCAATGAAGGGAATGTGAGTTCAGTCTCTGAGTTGGGAAGATCCAGTCTCTGAGTTGGAGAAGGAAATGGCAACCCACTCCAGTATTCTTGCCAGGAAAATTCCATGGACGGAGGAGTCTGGTGGGCTACAGTTGACGGGGTTGCAAAAAGTCGGACATGACTGAGCAAGTATGCACACAATGAAACTGCTGGTGGAAGCAGGTACGTTACAAAGCAGTTTTACAGAAGAAGGAATGGTTAAGCATAGTTGGTATAACAGGAAGGGCTTGGAATCAATCATACAAGTGAAATAAAAGTGAACTTTCAGACATCAGTGATAAACTAGTAGTGAAATTGCTACCAAGAAGCTAAGCTCTGTTTTCTTGTCACATCGAAACTTTTTACAAACAAAATAGAAACTTTCATACCTCTTTGCCTATTTTTTCCCCTCTGCCCAAGGTGTACTCCTTAGGTCAGTCACCCTCTCTCCATGCCACAGATCCCTTACCAGATAATTCTCTGTATTATCACCATCACCACCCAATTTAATAGAAATAAACCTTTACATTCCTATTGTAGATGTTACAGTTTACAAAGCACTTTCACCTGTATCAACACGTGATCCTAATAGCAGCTCTTTATGGTAAAACCTGTTTCTGTTTTATATTAAGAATATCTAAACCTCAGAGCAATTCCCCAAGATAATACACCTAGTAAGTGGACGCCAAAATTGTCTTCTGATGCTAGTGTTCTTTCCACAACAAAACAATGAGACAAAATGCTTTATATAACACCTTACAAATTGAGAACATCATGCTTGGGTGTGAATGGAGAAAATAATAAGCAGCATATGTTTCAGCTTTCTAGTTTCCTTGCTTCTCCTTGTATGTTTAAGTTTACAGTAGTCTTTATCACATCTTGTTAATATATATCTCTAAAATCACACTCTGTTTTTGCTATAGAAATAGCCTGTGGAATTAATATGTGCATTGAAAACTACTTGAATTTGATTTTAAATCTATATAATTCTATATATTTATATTTCTGCACACAGAAGATGTACTAGATCTTTGATTGGATTAATTTAACTATATACTATTGAGATTACAACTGGACAAATTCCTTCAAATAAAGTGATTTAAGTCTGTTTGTATTCACTAAGTTATACGTGTCCCCCTCCTTCACATATGGAATAATAAAAAGACAGAATTTAAAGTAGACTAGAGATTAGACAGCCAACAAGTCCTGAAATGTCATTTAATAGAAACTGGAGCCCAGAGAAGTGTTACAGCTAGTTAGTGGCAAAAACTTTCCTAGATTGGCTAACGCTTCTGGGGAGGGAAACCTGAGTCATATGTAGGCAACTTTCCATTTTTCACAGAACTATGAATATTATATGCTTGTTATAATAATCCTGGCTAAAACAACATCAAGAATTATCATCAGTTAAAATGATAAAAATAAAAATAAGGGCTTTAAGGAGCCAATTTTCCATGGCATTTCTACACATCTTGTAAGAGATTATCTTTTCAAGATTGTTCTCTTAGCAGAAGGCCTTGGAAGCTAGAAATGGTGTCTCTCTAGAGGTCAAAGAGGGGGCTTCCCAGGTGGCAAAAGTGGTAAAGAATCTGCCTGCCAGTACAGGAGATGCAAGAGACATGGGTTCAATCCCTGGGTTGGGAAGATCCGCTGGAGAAAAAATTGTCATCCGGCAACCCACTTCCATATTCTTGCCTGGAAAATTCCATGGACAGAAGAGCCTGGTGGGCTACAGTCCATGGGATTGCAAACAGCTGGACATGACTGAGCGTGCACACGCCATGCCAGAGGTCAAAGAACAGACTTGTTTGGTGACCAGGACAGTAAACACGAGATGATTCCCCCTTCTTCCTGGAGACAGTCCAGACAACCAAGATAGTATCTCTCTGCAGATGAGAGGTGAGACCAATTTGCCAGTAACTCCTACAGAGATCAGGATATCCTCATCTGAGAATTCCTCAATTGTGATCCAGACCACGGTGTGAGCATTGTTTACCTGGACCCATGCCTGTACTATGCCTGTTTCTTTCTTTAAGTATTATAAAATAATTTATAATATAATTTTTAATATTATTACAAACTCTTCATAAACAGACTTTTGTTAGCTGTATGTATTTCTTGATTTTTACACGCTATATTTTTGCTCATCGCTGTGTAGTCATTCATTTTCCTGATTTCCCTGTTACAAATGCACTGTAAAATCTTTGTTCTTAAAATTTTTTCTGTATTTCATATGATTTTTAGCAGAATAGACATCCAGATATCAAATTGTTGAATCAAAGACTAGAACTACTTTTTGAGATTTTTTTATGTTACCAAAGTACTTTCCAAAATGTTCAAACCAATTTACATTCTCACTAGCCACATCACAATGTGTTTTCATAACTACCTTCCACTTCTCCCCCATCACTTATCATGATAGCTCTTCTGAACTTTTCATACATCCTCAGATACTTCCAGCCTTTCTATGTGTTTTTCCTTCTACATAGAACGGTGTTGACATGTACAGTTCTCACCCTGCAGATCTCAGCTTACACGTTATCTTCTCAAAGAATTCTTTCCCAACTCCCAAACTAACACACACTACCCTTACCTCTAATACTTTCCTTTGTGTTATTTATGCACATGTAACTGTTAAATAATTTTATTCTTGGCTTGAATTTAGGCCCAGGAAAGCAGCAATCTCATTTGGCATGTTCTTCACTGAATCCCTGGTGCTAAAACAGATTTTGACATTCGGTAATTACTTAATACACATTTCTTGAATCAATTAATCTTTTTCAAATTTTATAACAATCCAGTGAAGTTTCAAGGAAGAATCACAGGCATAGTTTGAACTGATCCCTCAAGATCACCTTGTGAGTTAGTGGCACAGACATTATCTCAACCCAGCTTTCCTGACTTCTGGCAGAGATTTTAGAAAAAGTTCAATCAATGCTTCAAGAAATATTTGAATATTTTTATCATTAAAAATAACATATCTCAGGCAAATTGAGATCTCAGTTAGAGATATCATAGAGATTCTCTAAATACATTACTACCTCTGCAGAGATATATCATAATGTCTCTGATTTAATTATTCCCCAATTAATGGATTCAGTTGAACCAAATCAGGTGAAGAATTGTTTTCCCGGTCTTCTAGGGAGCCAGAATGTTGAACTTAACATTGTACGGGAAATGAAATTACACTTTCTTTTTGACTTTGAGACATGTCATGTGAATCATGTGCAAATGAGCTTTTTTCATTAGCTCTTGCAATTATGCAACAAGTCTGTTGTCTACAGGCAAAGTTTTTCAAAGACAAATTAATAAAGAAATTCCACAAGGCACAATAATCCCTGTTTGTTCCTATTTTATTCAGGTTCTAAGTGACTAGAATTATGAAAGTTCAAATTATGGTAATGTGTCTGCATCCTTTCATAAAGATATACAAATGATGGCTTGATATGAAAACTTTATTTTTTAAAGCAACTCTAAGCATGGCCACATTGTAGTAAAATGGTATAATGGAACAGGACAGGTTCAAGATACTATTCAGTCTACATCTTCTTGTTGTTCAGTCGCTCATTCATATCCATGGACCTCAGCACGCCAGGCTTCCTTGTCCTTCACCATCTCCTGGAGCTTGCTCAAACTCAGGTCCATTGAGTCGGTGATGCCATCCAACCATCCTGAGTCACAGAATGTGAGTCAGTGCTTGTAGTCATGTCCATCAGGAATGGCCCTGCTGCAGTTTCAGGTAGCTGTCAGTTCTCTAGAAGATTTCAGGACTATCAACTCCAGCTTTCTGAATCAGTTTCACAAAGAACAGGGATCTCTGCCCTCAACCAAAGAAACCGGACAATTTGGTATGTGGTTCTAGAAGCAGAAGCTAGAATTGGTCCTGACTTAGTGACCGTTGAAGCAAAAACTCACACATTAAATTTTAGACTCAATATTTCCTCTTCCTTGTTTCAATGTATCATTAACTTTCTGGGTCCTCCTTCTGATTCTCTCAATCTTTCCTTCATGAGTTCCTGTTCTCTAGCTTAGCCCTTACACTTAGGTAATTGTCAAGCTGTCTTCAGCCTCTTCCCTCTACTTCCTCTATGTTCTACGGGCTTGCTCTGGGTGACCTCTAGCACTACGTCAGCTCTTACTTATTTGGTGAGAATTAATAAAAAACTGCATTCAATCAATACTTAAAGTAGTCTGAATACCCTGCAGGTATTCTCATTGCCTGTCTATATCTGAGTAGAGAAGCCCGATAAATATCTGTATTGACCTGAATGACTGAACGGCCCCTTCCTTGAGCCCTACAGCAATATATCCAGTTTATCATTAGATATTCATTCTGCTATCACACAGGAACTTGAAGTAGATGTCCCCATTTGTTTTTTGTTGCTGTTGTTATTGTTGTTGTTTAGTCGCTAGGTTGCGTCCGACTCTTTTTTGACCCCATGGACTCTAGTGCGCTGGGCTCCTCTGTCTTTGGAATTTCCCAGGCAAGAATACTGGAGTGGGTTGCCTTTTCCTTCTCCAAGGGATCTTCCCAACCCAGGACTGAGCCCTCGTCTCCTGCATTGGTAGGTAGATTCTCTACTGCTGAGCGACCAGGGAAGCTTCCATTTGTCTTTACTTTCTTCCAGAAACACCTACTCTACCATCACTTCCTCTTAGTGGCCACAACACTATACCATGTTGAATAAATATGTATTAACTAAATACAGTTTTGTGGCTAAAGAAAACTTTTGTTTTTGTGCTTTTTATTTATGGACAACTATTTATTCAGAATATCTCCTTAAGTCTGCATACAAGTAAGGGAGTGTGGTACACTGGAAAGATGGGGGCACTGGAACTCAGACATACTTTGGGAATCAGCCAAATTCTCTAGCTCAGTCACTCAAGTTGTATGACACTCAGCATGATACTTTATCTCTCTGTTCTAAACACTTTTTCATTTCTAAACTAAAGTGAGTAATACCAACGTTATAGTGTAGCTGTAGGGAATAGAGAGTGAGCAGATGTACAGTGTCTACACATAGAAGACATTCAATAAATGATAACTGTTATCACAAAAAGCAATTATACCTGTGCATTTGACTCTCTCCATTTTCTCACTTTTAATTCAATTTCTCTGTTCTTCTTAGTTTACTGCTAATACTCTTGTCAGTATTCTGTATTCTACATTGTTGAGGAGACCTGTTAAAATCATAAAAATCAGGAAGAAAAAATATATTAGACATTAAAAGCCTAAAGCACCTAATAGCAGTGTGAATTTGCATTTCAGTCATTCTTTCCCTCTATACCCAACCTTAACTAGGTCTTGGAACAAGACAACATCCAGGAGAGGCAAGTCTTAGAACTACTTTTGAGATTGCAGGTTTAGGTAGAAATTCTAGAGGAGAGGATTACTGTGGGAAATCTATGAATAGGCAAAAAGTGTATGTTTTTCAAAGTATACATAATATGGTTACATGCAAATGTACTAAATAAGAAAGCAATTAAAATATTAAGAACAAATGATGAGATAACTAAGAAATGTATTAGAATGAAGTTACTTTGAGATACTTCAATCTTTTACAACTGAAAGAAGAAACAGACAAAAAATTAAGCAAGGTCATAAGACGTAATCACTTTGAGTGTATATCAAAGTTCTTTTGAGCAAAGAAAACATAATTTTTACTGTTTAATCTTATAAAAATTACACTGTCAAGAAATGATTGCTAAAATTTTAAATGCTAATATAATGTATGCTATATTCTTAGAACATAATCTAATTTTTAAAAAAGAAATTAAATATAACTAGTTAAAATAAGAAATGGAATCCTAAATAACCAATTGAATCAACTGGGAATTAAACCTTAGTTATAAACTTTTAAAATTACAAAGAAAAATAAGTATGCCATGTTATATCTTGTGGGATACAGTTAAAACTTGTTTCAAAAACAAAAAAACCCTGAGCCTAATACACCTTTATTATCACAAGAAAAGACTAAAAATAATGTGCTAAGTACTCATATTAACAACTTAATAAAAGGAAAACAAACCAAATAAAGTAGGAACAAAAAATTATTCCAAATAAAAGATGAAATTGGTTAAAAAAATAAACAAAAAATACCCAAAATTGGTTACTTGAAAGTAATATCCCAAATTTAATTTCACTGAATGCTCCACTGAGTTAAAAAAATAGTAGCGGGGGTAGCAAAAGTATTCAATTTTGAAAGTGATAAAAAATTTTAAAACAGATAGAGCAATCATAACTCTTATACAGACCGGGAGCTGAAAAAAATATGAAAAAGAACAGGAAGCAAACCAGCTTTAAAATCAATCAGTGAAACAAAATGAAATGTTCTAGTATCTAAAGAACTGATATATTCATATCCGGTGTTTAATTTAGAGGGAAAATAAGGTTTATTTTATAAATAGCACTGTCATCATTGCCTTAAATAAAAATATGATACCGTATACAAAAGCAGACCTTAGGTGCTTCCAAAATACATATTTAAAATTAAATGGCAATAATCTAAAAAAAGTCAGTTTAAAACAACTTAAAATATTGAAATTTACAACAACTTAAAACGCTTAAAACAACTCAGGAAAGATTGTTGGTAAGGAAGGGATATGGTTGTCACTTTCCTATGGAAATAAAAGGAGCTATAGAAAGGATGTATATTCAAAACTTCTTATTGCGATATTGTTTGCACTGGCAAAAAATAACGCTAAATACCTAGAAACAGCTCAAATGACCATTTAACAATAGTTAAATAGATTTGTTACATGGCTTAGTATTTAATGCCTTAAGCATTGAACATTATTTGGCATTGCCTTTCTTTGGGATTGGAATGAAAAGTGACCTTTTCCATTCCTGTGGCCACTGCTGAGTTTCTGAATTTGCTGGCATGTTGAGTGTAGCATTTCAACAGCATCATCTTTTAGGATTTGAAATAGCTCAACTGGAATTCCATCACCTCCACTAGCATCACCAACTGGATGCACATGAGTTTGAGTGAACTCTGGAAATTGGTGATGGGCAGGGAAGCCTGGAGTGCTGCAGTCCATGGCGTTGCAGAGAGTCGGACATGACTGAGCTACTGAACTGAAGTATTGGTTAAAAACAAAATTCAGTTGAGTAGATTTGAAGACATGGTTGGTGTTATTCAAGGATGTGTGTGTGTGCTTAGTCACTCAGTCGTGTCTGACTCTTTGTGACCCCAAGGATTGTAGCCCGCCAGGTTCCTCTGCATGTGAAATTCTCCAGGTAAGAACACTGGAGTGGGTTGCCATGCCCTCTTCCAGGGGATCTTCACAACCCAGGGACTGAACCCAGGTTTTCTGCAATGTAGGCAGATTCTTTCCCCTCTGAGTCACCAGGGAAGCCCATGAATCTAATAAATAGAAGAGAGCTCCGATAAGTGCCACAAAATGGAAGGCTTTATAGAAAAGAGGGTGGGGGCAAGGAGTTCAGATCAGTTGCTCAGTCGTGTCTGACTCTTTGTGACCCCATGGACTGCAGCACACCAGGCTTCCCTGTCCATTACCAACTCCCAGATGCTCAAACTCATGTCCATCAATTCTGTGATACCATTCAACCATCTCACCCTCTGTCGTTCCCTTCTCCTCCTGCCTTCAATCTTTCCCACCATTACAGTCTTTTCAAATGATTCAGTTCTTCACATTAAGTGGCTAAAGTATTGTAGTTTCAGCTTCAACATCAGTCCTTCCAATGAACACCCAGGACTGATTTCCTTTAGGATGGACTGGTTGGATCTCCTTGCAGTCCAAGGGATTCTCAAGAGTCTTCTCCAACACCACAGTCCAAAAGCATCAATTCTTTGGCACTCAGCTTTCTTTATAGTCCAATTCTCACACCCATACACGACTACTGGAAAAACCATAGTTTTGACTAGATGGACCTTTGTTGGCAAAGTAATGTCTCTGCTTTTTAATATGCTGTCTAGGTTGGTCAAAGCTTTTCTTCCAAGGAGCAAGTGTCTGTGTTTTAATTTCATGGCTGAAGTCACCATCTGCAGTGATTTTGCACCCCCCCCCCTCCACACACAAATAAGTCATCAGCAATAAATAATATATAAATAAATAAAAGTTTGCCTCTTCTTCCTCTGAGAAGTAGATTGGAGAAGACCCAGAATAACTCATTGGTTCTAACCAGAAATTTCCAAACTGGTAGATTAAGGTTTTATTTGGGAGTAAGGTCAAAACTGCAGTTCAGTTAGGTATTAAATCTAGGTTTGGTACCGTGGGTTTTGAGCACATGTGATGCCGTTTTGGATCTGTGGACCATGTTTAGCAGTGCGTGTGTGTGTGTGCTCGGTCATGTTCGACTCTTAGCAACCCCGCGAACTGTAGCCTGCCAACCTCCCATGTCCACGAAATTTTCCAGGCAAGAACACTGGAGGGGGCTGCCATTTTCTTCTTCAGGGGATCTTACTGACCCAGGGATCAAATCCACATCTCTTGCGTCTCCTGCACTGGCAGGCGGATTCTTTACCATTGTGCCACCTGGGAAGTACCATGCAGCTATTTTCCTTAAAATGAATTCAATTTCTTGCTGTGAAGAGATCTCTCTAATGTATTTTTAAGAATGAAAGAATTTCATTAAGAATGAAATGAGGTTGATGAGAACAAAAGAAAGAATGAAAGCTAGTTGACAGCATTGTTCTAAGCATTTCACATATTAACTCAGTCAAAATGTCACTACATCCCTAGGAGGTAGGGCCTATTATTATCCCAGTTTTGCTAACAAGGAAACTGAGTCAGAGAATATAAACAGCTTTTCTAAACACAGTAAGTAGTGATATTAAGATTCAAATCATGGCATTCTGTATCTAGAATCTGTATCCTTGAACATATGTGCCCTGCTTCTTATGCATATTTGTAAGCGACTGGGTAATTTTAGTAGAAAATTTGGAAGTACTCACACCAGAGAGGGAACAAAAGCTGCCTTTCTTGGCAGAGTATAGATGGAAAGAAAATGGGGAAGTAGGGGAAAAATCTGTAGCAAATGGCAAAATATATTTAATGTAATTTATTGAGTTTTACTATCTCATATAACAAAAACACAAATATGATTAAGAAGAAGGGCTTTTAAAAAAAGGAGTAGGAACAAATGAAAATGATGATAAATTTGAGATCTTTTTGGCTCAAGTTGTTACATTAACTGAATCTGAACTTAAGTTGTTTATTTAAATATTTAACTATTTTTAAATTCTAAGAAGTACTAAGTATTATTTTAAAAAATGAGAGAAATGTATAAATCAGTTTGATCTTGTCAATTAAATAAGTAAAAAGTAATAATAATGTCAGCTTATTTTCAATTTAATTAAAATGAAATATTTTAAACATTCCCATATCATTACCTGTAAATAATGAGATTCTTGTAAAGGAATGCACCTTTTTTCTTCTCAACTTGAATAAACTGATAGTCTGACCTTTAAATCAGCCACCCTCTGCTGGTTTTGCTGTCTTCATGCCAAGACTCTCTACAGTTTGCTATTTTAGAATTTACCTTGACTTCGTGTTTCCCTTTTAGCAATAACCTAGAGAAAAACGGGGAGTCAAACTGAACTGTAAAACTCTGGAAATAAAGTGCCAAGAGGAAAGGGGGGGCGACAGAGGATGAGATGGTTGGATGGCATCACTGACTCAAAGAACATGAGTTTGAGCAAACTCAGGGAGACAGTGATGGACAGGGAGGCCTGGCATGCTGCAGGCCATGGGGTCGCTGAGGTCGGACGCAACTGAGTGACTGAACAGCAGGATATGGTCCTCTTGTCCTACATGTGCTTACACCTTGACTTGCTGAGAGCATATGAAATACTTCTAGGTCAGCATCTACAGCTTTGAAGCTAATCCACACAGGTACATAAACTTAAAATTTCAGATATTGCTGGGGCTGCAAAGTTGGTCCCTTACAAGCTGAATACCTCTGAAAGTGAACAGTATGAGATGAGAAATGTAAAAATTTATCAAGTGACATAATATTTGCCCCATGAAAATTTGAGACTGATCTAAAGGTCAAGACTATCAGTTTCTCCAAGCTGAGAAACTGCATTCATTTCCCAAGAATCACATTACTAACCCTGGTAATGATATGGGGATGTTTAAAATACTTCATTTTAATAAGCTGAAAGGGCTTCCCTGATAGTTCAGCTGGTAAAGAATCCACCTGTAACGTGGGAGACCTGGGTTCAATCCCTGGATTGGGAAGATCCCCTGAAGAAGGGAAAGGCTACCCAGTCCAGTATTCTGGCCTTGAGAATTCCATGGAATGTATAGTCCATGGGCCCGCAAAGAGTCGGACAAGACTGAGCAACTTACACCAAAATAAGCTGAAAATAAGCTGACATCATAAACCTGATTCTTAAAGTTGTAGAGTGATTTCAATCAACATTTAATAAATATTTATTGATCATCTATTATGTCCTGGTGACACGGTGGTGAACAAGACAGACACGGCCCAAACCTCATGGAGCTTCTGTTCCAGTGGGGCAGATACATAATAAATAAAAAGTATAACAACTATAGGCATTTATCATTTTTACATAAAAACAGAGCAATAAAACAAAGAGCCCGAAGGCCACTTCAGATAGCATGATTACAGGATACCTTCCTGCGGGGATAAAGTATTTATCAGTGAGAATTTCATACAGTGAGAATGACAGGTCATAGGGAAAGCTAAGTAAATTATTTCAGGCAGAGAGGACGATAAACCACAAAGGTAATGGAGACAGAAAATCTAGGTTTGAGGATTAACAGAAGGCAGAGTTTCCTGACACTTTTAGGGGGATGAAGGAATAAGTTGGGCATATTGTACAGGGTCTTAATAGAATTTTTTTTTTGTACAGGGTCTCATAGAATTTTATTCGAAGATGACAAAAGTAACCTATTGTGAAGTATTCTACTTGTCAATATTCGGAGTACCTTGATATGGTTTACATTTCAACAAAAAATAATGGTGCAAGTAAAACAAACTTAGTATGATAAATTGGCAGATCAGCTTGGGTGGGGGCCCTGGGGGGAAAGATGAGTCAAGGATCACACTTAAGTTCCTGGCTTTCATAAATTCAAGAAATAGGGGATGAAACTAGAAGGTAAATTTGATCGACCAGGAAGAAATGATAGACTATTGGGCCAGAGTGGTGTTGGCGGAAGAGGAGCAAAGTGGAGACATTCAGTAAGTTGACCGGGTCGTTAGGGTTGCTCTTCCTCTGTGTGACCTATAGCAGCCATCCCCAGGGGCAGGTTTCGTGGAAGACAATCTTTCCATGTGGGGGGGGGTGGTGGTGTGGGTACGTATGTGCCGGTGTGAGGGGTGGTTTCGGGATGATTCAAGCACATTACATGTATTGTGCACTTTATTTCTATTATTATTACATTGTGATGGATGATGAAATAATTATACAGCTCACCATAGTGCAGAATTAGTGGGAGCCCCGAGCTTGATTTTTTGAGCTCAGGTGGTTATGTGGGCTATGGGGAGCAGTTGTAAATACAGATGAACTGCAGCTTGTTCATCTGCCATTCACTTCCTGCTGTGTGTACGGGTCTGTGGCCTGTGGGTTGTGGACTCCTGACCTATAGGATAATCCTGGTGTATCAGTAAAAAGTAAAGCTTCTCAAAATTTTCATTTCAAAAACATGGTTCATTTAACAGAAGGGAATAGTGAACTGGGAACAGGATCAACAGTAGAGACTAGCTCAGCAATTCTTAGTTTCACAGCTGCATCAGCATGCATCTGCTGTAGAACTTTTCTTTCTCTTAATTTTGTATCTGACTATCATCAAAGCAGACAAAGCTTCACGTGCTTAATTTCATTATAACACTCTTACTTAAAAATGGAGGCTTTTTGTTGGTTATCAGATCTATACTCACTGGCAGTTTGACCGCAGAAAAGTCACTTATCCTTTCTAAGTCCCAGTTTTCTTATCGGTAAAATGGGAGTAATACTGTCTGGGAGATTACCATCATACTGACACAATATGTGAACATACTGTGCAAATAATGATGCACTATTCAAAGAGAAAGCATAATTGTTATTTTTCTATCTTCACCAGCTCACATTGCATCAAATTCAAGGTAGCCTCCTTCTATTTCTGTATCTTAACTACGTAAACCTATAATATTCCTACTCCAGGAAAATGACACTGGAATGTGCTTGAGTGGATTTTCTCCATGGTCAGAATTGTGTTTGTGGTGACATAACCACATCTCTGCTTGTCCCTATTCCCCTCATGACCAAGGGCACACACTTTTTAATAGTTGACAGTGAGAGAATCTCCAAACGTAAAATTATTCTGGTGAAGAAGTTCTCAGAATGTGGTCCAAGGAGCTAGGGGATTCATGAGATTCCTTCATGAGTTGACAGGTTATTCCTTTTTCAAGTATTAAGTCTGTATAACACTGTATTTTCTTCACATACTCCAACCGAAACAGTGTATCATAACGAATGAAGTACAGGAACAGATAATGCAGCATTCATCAATTAAGCCAGGCATTAGAGTTTGCAAAACTGTAAAACAATGTAACTCTTCTAATTTTTTTCTTGCTATATTTTAAAGTGCTGCTTTCACTTTATTATTATTGAGTAAGTCAGTTGTTAATTTTGTTTTTTTTTTTCTTTCTTTCATCCTAATGGAGTAAACACTGCCAGATATAATCCATATAAAGCTCTTTGGAGTCCTCATAATCTTTAAGAATGCAAAGGGATGCCAAGAACAAAAAGTCTGTGAAATATTGGCAGAGTGCAATCAACCAGCCTAGGCAGCATTATTAAGCAACCCTGTGATCTTTCCCGAATAAGCTTTCATCAGTTGAGTTTTCATGCACAGAAAGCTAATCCTTCTGCCTTCTGTAAAGGTGTAAAACCTTCTGTAAAGGTACAAAACCTTCTGCCTTTCTTCTTGCTTATCTTCCTCCCTTCCTTTCTTTCATGAATTTTATTGAGAGGATGAATGAGTTGGCCAACTGACAAAACTCATGAGATACAAAAATAATATAGTCCATAGAGTCCCTATAGAGGATGGACTCTAGTGGAAAAGGCAGTCAATCAAATGATGATAGTGAACTGTGAACACAGGAATAGAAGAGAGAGTTTTGACATCTGCCTAGGAGATCAGAAGGAGAAACGCAGAGTATGGCACTTGGGGACCACAAGATCTGAACAAATAGTTCAGCTCTCTTTTTACTCTTGTGGCTCAAGCGCTTATTTTAAATAGAAGTGGCCCACTGTAGTCACCAAGGTGGTACTTTACTCCTACTTCTCTTCGAGAGAGAACGTGTCACAGGAGTGCAGCTTGCTGACAGACTCCAGCTGCAGTGACTTCAGGAACCACCTCAGTTTTCCAGTCCAGGACGATGGCTAAGTGCACCATGAACTGACTCCTGGGCCTGGGCATTTTCCCCAGCAAACTCCTGAATGGGCGTCATTGCACCAGAGTTCCCCGCTGGACCGGACCGGCTGACACCATCTCAGAGTAGTATCCCCGAGTCTCTTTCCCTCAGATTGATCCTCCTTCATTTTCACAGAGGTCAGAACTACACTGGAGTCTGAGACTTTCCCTTCCTATTCCTCTTCCCTGTCTAAGTCCTCTTTCACAGGCATTACCCCCTAAGAGATTCTCTGAACCTCAGTTGTCTCCAGTGAAATAGAAATCAGGTAGTATCTTGCCCACACAATTGTGTAATAGTTAAATGACATGTGAATTACCTTGATAAAATGTCAAGTCCTAAATGGGCTTCCCTGGTGGCTCAGAGAGTAAAGAACCTGCCTGAAATGGTGGAGACCCAGTTCGATTCCTGGGTCGGGAAGATCCCCTGGAGAAGGAAACGGCAACCCACTCCAGTATTCTTGCCTGGAAAATCCCATGGATACAGAGGAGCCTGGTGGGCTACAGTCCATGGGGTCGCAATGAGTCAGACACGACTGAATGACTAACACACTAAAGTCCTAAATAAATAAATTATTATGGTTGTTACTGACTTCCAATACCAGATATGTAGAATGCCAAATGGTATTCTACATTGATATGTCAACTTTTTCCTCTATTTCTTTGATCCTTCTTTGTTTCGATATGCATTCCTGAACAGTGACTTTCAAACTTATATACAAGGCCAGGGATATGAGAATCAAGATACTTTTTGCCAAATACATGAAATACAGCTATATTTATGTCCACGATACTATTCATTCATTCAAAAAATGTGAGTACTGTGTGCCAGAATTATTCAGGGTGCTAGGATTATAGCAGAGAAACAGGATTTGGAGTCTGCTGTCTAATAAAGATAGTTTTCTAGTAGTAATATATACAGTAATAAACACAGTCAGTTCTCTGTAGAATCTGTGTGAACTCATTCAGTCTTCTCAAAACTAAATGAGGTAGTCATAGGTCTTTACCAATTATGCACAAGTTATAGATGAGAAAACTAAGGCACAAAAAGAAGTCAAATGATTTCCTCAAGATTCTAAATATTAATAGTTGGTGAGCAGCAGAACCATGCTTCAAACTTAGGCAGTGTGATACAAGTCCTTGGTCATCTCTAAGCCATCTCTGACAGTCTAAGTGATTCTCAAGTTTCCAGGATCCTCTGAAAGGGTTAAAACAAAACAGAGTGGGGAACTGATACAGTAGGCAAGGGTGGGGGCCAAGAATTTACATTTCTAGCAAATTCCAAAGAGATGCATATGCACCTGATCATTTTTATCCAGCAGTTTGAGAATTACTGCTAAGTAATGCTGTGCTGTGCTGAGTCGCTTAGCCGTGTCCCACTCTTTGTGACCCCATGGACTGTAGCCTGCCAAGCTTCTCTGTCCATGAGGATTCTCCAGGCCAGAATACTGGAGTAGATTGCCATGCCTTCCTCCAGGGGATCCTCCCAACCCAGGGATCCAACCCAAGTCTCCTGCTTTACAGGTGGATTCTTTACAATCTGACTCACCAGGGAAGTCTGATAAGCAATACTACTTCTTTATAAACCTAGTTAAAATGATCTGAGCCTAGTACCAAACTGTGGTTTGCACATAAATTGACTTTTACTTCATATCATTTGAAATATAATAAATTTTCAGGAATGCAACTTTTAGATAAATCAATAGGACTTTGTTCTGCTGGGAACTTGACCAAGAGTTTTCCAGCATTACATCTGATAAGGAAACTGTGACATTCATTCAAGATACTATCATCTCTGGATCATATCCCAATCGTAAAATACATCCACTAGACTAAGGGGTATTTGAGCTATAAACTCACTGAAATAATTTATATTCTTAGAAAAACAGTACCTGTCAATTTTACTGTGATTTTACAATTCTACATAGAGACATAAAATGCAAATATCTGAATATCTCATTCTATTCTCTAGTACATTCATACACGAGCATTTTAGGTAATGAAATACTGGTGTTTGTATTAAACTTTATCTAAAATATCTTTTCCTCAATATTCACACCTTTTCCCCTTACTTTCTGAGGTCAAATCAATGAGATTTTTCCCCTCTGTTTTCATTTAATTTTTTAAAATATGTTTTTGTCTTTTGTATTATCGGTACTTTTCAAGTAAGCTTATATATGAATTTCATTTCAAATTAGCAAAAGGGCTCTATAAAATGTTATAAAAATAAAACTTTGCATCTGATCAATTTGAGAATCATGTTTTTCTCCCTGTGAATGGAGAGAGAACTAGTTTGAGAATTATTAGATTAGTGGAAATAAACTAAATTGAAAGTCAAAGTACCTGAGGTTTATTCCTAACTCTAAGTAACTGGAAATGTGACATTCATCAAGTTATCTCTGGATCTTCACTTCCAAATGGCAAAACAAATCCATTAGGTTAAGAAGTCTTCAAGATTCTTTCCTATTTATTCATTGGCTAGAGATGTGTTTTCAACTATTTTCACAATTGTTTGTTCTGCTTTGATTACACAGTCAAAGAAATTTTCAACTTGATTATTCAGCTCATCATAATTGATGATTTAGTAAAAGTTTTAGTATTTTAACAACCAATGGCACATTTTCTCAGAGTTTAGGAATGCTGTTTCTCTGTCATCGAGTTATCTCTGAACAGTAAATGGGCTAGTTTAATTCATGCTGTCAGCTTTTCACCCTAAGTAAAGGGTAATAAAACCTACAAGGGTGTTAGCCCCACCCTGTGACTATATTAGAGAGAATTTTCATTTCTGAGCTTTCAAGGGCAACGCCTTCTGCCAAACGGAAATTGGCTTTCAGGCCTAGAAACCAAGATAAGGTTATTAAGTGAATTTATTTTAACACCTCAGGACACTTAGTTTTTTCAAGCCATTATCTAGGGAGACAAAGGTGAATAATCTGGACATGCTTCCTTCAATCTGGTGAAAAAAGTGGACATACAAATATTTATTTGAAACCAGTGTAATGCGGGCAAAATGAACGTGCCCTAGCAGGAACACAGAAAAGTCTGTCTTCTTCATCACTTGTCCTTAATGATGCTCGAAGCCTGACGCCTAGAACACTCTGCAGGAAAGGAGCCCCGACTTCCAACAACAGACAGGAAAGACAGCAGTTCCCACAGAAAAGGGTGATAATTAAACTGAACAAGGAAGCATCTGCAAGTCGTGCTACTTAATAATTACCAGGATCAGACTGGCACTCTGAAACCTGATCACAAGACCGGCTTTCTCCCACCAGCTACCTTCCCCATCCAAGGCAAGTAACTTCCTCTCTCTGGGCCTGCAGCTTTTCAGTTGTAAAACAAGGGTTTCAGTGCCCGTACGCTTCTACGGGCGCTCGTCCGCGCAACTAAATCCTATAAAATTAGCAGGACAAAAAACACAGCAAAACACTAATACACAAAAAACTGCAAGTTTGCACTACAACTGAATTCTCCTGTAGACAACAGGCTAAGAACATTAACAGGAAACCGACAAACTCCAGCAAAAAAAAAAAAAAAAGGCAGTGAAAAGTTTTGGGAAAAGGAAGAGCAGTTTTCAAACAGCTGGGGGCGT